CATGGAGCTTGCATGGAGCTTACACAGGCACTGCAAGCCATGGGTGCCTCAAAGCACAGCTGAGACAGAATACTTGATTCGGGATAATCCATTCATGCGCCCATTTCCCTTCCTCCGCCCATATTGTGGATGAAAGGTGCAGTGAAAGCCTGAGTCTGGGGATGGTTCCAGAGGCTGCAGGATGTGGTCACACGGCTACCAAATTCCAGTACTTTCTCCTTGCATCGGGCTCCTCTGCAGCAGGGTGGTTGTGGACAGGCAGCAGGATCCCGTGCTGGCACATCCATACCTCACACGTTCACTGGTTGCTGCTAGAATGTATCATATATACCAATTTTGGTTATGAAATGGAAGCTGGAGGACACGATGACAAACGAGGAGTCGTGCTTTACGATTTGTACACTGATGGCCATAAGGAGCCAGCAGGCACCGCTCCCGGCGTGATTTGCACATAGGCTTGACTTTATGTATTATTGGTAATCCTATTGAAATCTGCATGCATAAAGTTAAGTGCATCTAATCAACTCCGTAGCTTCAGATTTGTATACATTAATTTAATTCCGCCGTCAGTATTTAGAGCAGCTCCTGCAAAGAGCAGTTACGGCGCTGCGACGGAGCGTAACGACCTCAAATTTTGTTTTAATATTAAGTGCAGAAAAAATATGAAACGGAGGCACCCCTTATTACTCTTCAAGGCAAACAATGAGCGCGATGTTAAATGAGATGCTCAAAGTTATTTCGGGGTCCAAATGATCAGCACTGAATGTATGTCATTGGAAATTTTTCCTGTGGGCCTCTGTGCATAGCGCAGCTCCATGGCGGTGCGCAAGGCCGTGTTTATGGATCCATTTTCAGGATCAAAGCCCTCATTAGTAATACGGATTAATGGTAATTACAAATATAAATAACTTGAGTGTATCTTCTCGCTTTCCTCTGAAGACGTTTCTCACAGAAGGCAGCTGGATGCCAGGCTTATTCCTTAAATCCAAACTGTATTAAGTTCTCGGGTAATAGTGCGGTAACATAAAGTTACATAAAGCTGTGTTATTATTTTTCAGGCCTCAGAACACAGAGCTTGATTCTCAGCTCGCATTAACTGGAGCTCAGCTCTGGATTCAGATCCTTTTTTCCATACTGAGGAAGTGAAAATTTAAAAAAAAAAATAAAATCAAATTGCTTTTTGGCTAAGAACAAAAGTAAGAAGTTGAAATTGGAGGATCGTTTTTCACAATGTTGTAAGTACCAAAAATGCAGCCTTATAATAAAAGCACTTTCTTGACCAAGATTCTGTAATTGCTACTATGAAGCTGAAGCTCAAGTTGGACTGCAGTGCTCACAAGCTGAGCATTTTCTCCAAATCCTTGGGAAACAGGGATTGCTTTAATGCGTTTTCCTGACATGTGTCGCAACTCTGATGTTATTTAAACATGACCAATCCGTATCAACCTATGGAATATACACCTCAGTCCTCAGCTGTTTGGTTGTGTCAGGGTGGGGCATGCTGCAGGACCAGTGCCTTAGGAATGTGTGTGGTGCCCATTCCCTGGGCCGTGGCCACTAAGGTGATGGCCTTAAGTTGTGCCAGGGGAAGTTCAGGTTGGATATTAGGAATATATAATTCCCCAAAAGAGCAGTGATGCACTGGCACATCTACCCAGGGAGGTGGTGGGGTCACCATCCCTGGAGGTGTTCCAGAACCGTGGGGATGTGGCACTAAGGAATGTGGTCAGTGGGCATGGTGGGGTGGGGTGAGATTGGACTGGGTGATCTCAGATGACTTTTCCAACCTCTGTGATCCTGTGATTCTACGAAGATAGAGACAATTTCAGTGAGAAATAAAGGGAAGAGGAGAAAATGGAACACAAAGTGAGGTACGGATGGAGCAGCTTCAGTGCACTGCAGGAGCAACCCTGTATGGGCCTTCCCATGTCCCAGGCATGGACACCTCTCACCGGGAGGAGCATTCACACCGCAGGGCAGCATTGGGCAGAAACAACCTACATACCTCAGCAGTGGGTTGCTGCTCACACCACAGCCGTCGGGTGACTGAAGCACATTGTCCCTTCCTCTGCCTCACGCACTTAGGACAGCCCAAGCGGTTGATGATGTTAATGGAGAAGACTTCTATTTGTAGCCTGTGCTACGTAGTATGGTCATATTTTGGAAGTGGCAGTGCAGAATTAGGTAAGAGCTGGCGCTGGCTGGATTATTCTATTTTTAAGAACAACCCAAAATTATTTAGCAGTTGGTGAGTAAAAACAAAAAGGTTCCCTCCTGGGTGGAATAAATAAGTCCATCTTCCCAGTCCCCTGTGTGCTTCACGCAAAACAATAAGGCAATAAGGTCTTTCATCTGATCCCCCATTTGAAACTCACTCTTCCATTCCATGCAGCAGGCAGTTTTGCACAGGACAACGCCAGGGAGCATTAAGCCAGCTCTATGTATGCAGCCATAGGGGCAACGCTGACAAGTTCCCGATCTCGGGGATGCTGGAGGTGGATTTGGAGGTGCTGCTCCCCCGGGTGCCGGGATGCACGGTGGGGGTTGTGGGAAGAAGTTCTGTACCCGAACCCGGGGGGGCTCCCTCGCCTCCCGCTCGAGGCTGGGGCGGGGGGGTCAGGGCTTCCCGCTGCGGGGGATGCTGATATTCGGGATGCAAAACACAGCGGGTGCTGGGAGCTGGGTAGAGCAGCGCAGAGGAGCCGGGGGGGTCACGGCACGCCGGGAGGGCAGCAGTCCCCCTGCCCTATATTTGAGCAACTTCGGGGGCTGCAGGCGGCAGGCGGGTGGGCTCCCGATGCTGGACTGCATTTCCCATAGTGCCCGAGCGCCCTAATGTATGCAGTGCTGAGCCCGGCTCGGTGTGCGAGTGTGTGTGTGCGTGTGTGCGCGCGTGTGCGCGTGTGTGTGTGTGTGTGTGCAGCCGGGAGTCCCTCGGAGAGTGGAGGCTCATTCACTGATGAGAGCCGGCACTGAGAGGCAGCACTGCTCCTTCCCTCGCACCCCCGGCGCCTCCCGCTCCGCTCCATGCAGCAGCGGGGCCAGCACGCCCGGGACTGCCCCGCTCCCCGCACCGTGAGTACCGGCACCGGGCAAACTTCGCAGGGCAACTTTCCCCCCTCCCTCCCCGACTCCCCGCTCCTTCTCCCTTTCCCCTTTCTCCTTCCCCGGCCCCGGCGAGCAGGGCTGCTCGGAGGGCCGGGTGGGCGGGTGGGGAGCGGCATGGTAATACCGAAGGGAAAGGCGGATAAAGGCTCCCCCCCCCCGCCGCCTCGGAGAGCCCCCGGCCGCCCGGATCCGCTCCCCTCCCCCCGGTGCCTTTCGGGGGGGACCGGCAGCCAGCAGGGGGATCAGGTGCCGGGGGCCCGGGGACGGCGCTGGGCGGGGGGACCCGACCCGACCTGGTGCGCGGAGCCCTCGCTCCGAGATCTTTCCCTTTTTAACTCTTCTATTATTATTATTATTTTTCATTTCGAGGGGCAGCGCGGCGAGTTGTTTCCTCGCTGCCCTCCGCTGCGATCTCTCTCTCTCCGCCGTTGCTCCGGCAGCAACGATTTCATTTCCCAGCCGCTGCAAAACAAAAACTTTTTCAAAGGAAATAAGCAGATCTGCTGCCTGTGCCACTCGCAGACCCTTCACTTTTTTTTTTCTGATTTTTTTTCCTTTTTTTCTCTCCCCCCCCCCCCTCCCCTTTCTGTTTAAAACACGCGAGCGTTTTTCTTTTGCAATACAAGTGCCCGCAGCACCGCCGGGCTCTCTGCGCGCCGAGCAGCCGGAGGACCTCATTCCCTCCGAAGCTTTCCTTTTTTTTTTTTTTTTTTTTTTTTTAATAATTTATTTTAATTTTAATTTTTTTTTTATCACCGGGCAAACTTTTCTAGTTTTTAAGCCGTCCCCAAAATGCGTGATCCCCGATCGGAAGAGTGATTTGTCCGCCGGTGCCTCTCAGCTTAAATTCGGCCGGGGCTGAAGTTTCGCCCCCAGCTCGGCTCCTCCATCCCCGGCATTTTTCCTCCCCTTCCCCGACCGCCTCCAGGTAGGAGCCCTCCCGCACCGCTCCGCTCAGCTCGAACAAAGGTAGAGTCGCTTTAAATTGTCGCCGTTCTCCAACGAATGCGCTAAAATTACTCCACGTGTCAATCGCGGAGCGTGGAGAGCCGCAAAGGTGAAGGGATTTGTGCGTGTTTTCGCTTAGAAAACTTTCCGGATCGTCGAGAGCTCGCAGGGTTTTATTTCTTTTCGCCGGCTCTAGAGCAGGGAAGCTGTAAATAGGGGTGGAAGCACGGAAAATAATTCCTCACCTTCAGGTCTAAATACATAAAAACCATCTGTTTGACCACAATGAAATCATTAGGAACTGTCTACTTAAAGAGTTGTGTTGAATGCTTATCCTTCCACACAGGAAACGTGGATGGTAAGTGATTGTTGCAATAAATTCAAACAACTCCGCGGTCATCCCCGCGTTTGATGATCTGTGTGACCCGGGGCTTTGAGGAGGGGAAAAAGTGGTAGAAAAAGGAGCACGGAACGGGTAGGGCAGGGCGGGGGGCGGGGGGAGGGTGGGCGAGGGCAGCACGACCGAGCCGTGCCGAGTCGGGCTGTGCCGTGCCGTGCCGTGCCGAGCCGAGTCGGGCCGTGCCGTCCGTGCGGGGCTGTGCCGGGCTGAGCCGTGCCGTACCGGGTCGGGTCGGGCAGTGCCGTCCGTGCAGGGCTGTGCCGTACCGAGCCGTGCCGAACCGTGCCGAGCCACACTGTGCCGTGCCACCAAACACCTGTTTAATTTACCGCCGCCCACATCGGACCCGCGGGGCAATCTCTAGGCTGCAACGTGGGCATCGCCCCTTTTGATTTTATTTTATTTCCTTGTATTGAAAAACCTCGCCGAGGGGCAGCGAATACTGGAGCGGGAGGAGTGGGGCCGGCGGCGGAGTGGGGCCGCTCCGGGCTCCGCGCTCCCCCCGCGGGCGCCGGTGCCGTTCCGGCTGCGGGACGGGGGGGCCGCGCCGCGCACAGCCGTAGGTAGGTGGTTGGTTGCTTTTTTCCCCCCCTTTTCCCTCCTTTTATTCTTTTACAAAACCCCAGGCGCTTCCTCCCCCCAGTCCGCCGCAGGGTGTCCCCCCCCCGCCCGGGGGGGGTTTTTTTTTTTTTTTTTTTTTTTGTTTTTTTCTTTCTTTTTGGTTTTCTTTCTTTCATTTCTTTCTTTCCTCCTTTCTTTTCTTTCCTCTTTCTTTCTTTCTTTTTTTTTTTTTGCCTTTTTTTTTTTTTTTTTTTTTTTTTTTTTTCCTCGAAGAACTTTGCAGCCAAACAAACCCCACGGAGGGGCAGAGGCCGCGCTGCCCTCCCAGCCGGTGCCTCCCGGGGCCGGGACCAGCGCTGCCCGCTCCGCTCCGCCCGGCCCCTCCGCTCCGCTCTTTCTATTTTTTTTAAATTTTATTTTATTTTATTTTATTTTTCTTCCCCTCCTCCTCCCCCCAAACCGATATTCACAGCAGTGGACATATCTCACGCGTTGGAAAAAATTAACTGTTTTTCTTTTGTATCTTAATCCAGTGATGAGAGCTCTCCTTTGTTGCCTTTCGAGCTCGCATTTGTTTTATTTATTATAAGGAAATCCAGTTCGGTTCAAATATATAATCCATTTGAGCACTTAAATCCCCAAACAGCTGGCATTATTTTGTTTTATAATCTTTGGCTTTTCTGCTCAGAGCATATTTCTAAATTCCTACTTGACATTTATGGGGAAAAAACTTTTTAATGTAAATGGATATTGCGATTTTTTTCTGGGTCTCTCCTCATTTAAATGCATCATCAATTTTCCCGTGTTTCCTTTTGTTTTTATCTTTCTTCCCACCCACCCACCCCCTTTCCCCCCTGTAACTTGTTAATTAATTTTTTTCCCCCTATGAAAACTTTGTTTCTGGAGGTAGAAAAATGTTAATTCACCCCATTATTTGTATCTCTGACATTTGGAAATGGTTGAGAGACCACAAAAATGCAACCTGTTGTAGGAACCCAGGGCGGTGCGTTGTGTGTATTTTAATCGATAGCAGAGCAGTGATTTAGGAAGAGGAACTCCGAGTGGCATTTTAGAGTAAGCTTTGCAGAGGTGGTGGCTGTGTATGTGGCGTGCATGTGCCTGCATTTGTGCTCACCGAGGGGGTTATGCTTGCAAGCAGCTCTCCTTCCTCATTTCCTCACTCGCTGGGGTGATGCCTGCGAATTCCGGCTCTGAGCCTTCTCCTACTTTTATCAGACTTAACTAATTCAGAGCGGTGTTACAATCTCCACGCACAGAGGAACCAAAACGGAGGCGGAGAGAACTGATTACAACTCGTTCCTTGCTGGGAGATTTTATTTTTATGGTTCAGAGCCATTCAATTTGTCTTGGTGGTGGAGTGTTATTAGCAACACACACAATTACACAGGTAATTTGTGTACACCTTAACCAGGGCGGCTTTAAAAACCCATAACTATGCAGATAGGTAACCATTAAAATTTTATATATTTATATATATGTGTGTGTTTTCATAACCTTGATACTTGGTGGGCAGTTCATGCGGCTCCATAGATTGATCTCCACCCCCTCCCTCCGCTCCTTGTTTAGTTAATTCAACAAAGACTTTTCGCAATCTGTTTGGAGTTTGTCTGATGCCGGGGAAAAGTAGCTGCTGATTTATTTGGTTGCTTTTCGATTTCTGTCTGCAGCCCGTCTTTTCTCCTCCTTTCAGCGGGGATGTCAGCTGTTATTACTTCCTATTGATCCCTTTGCAAAGTGAGAAGTGAACTAAAATTAATGTCAATTCCACTGCTCGGATCAATAGCCGGAGTTATTTTAATCTGGATTTGCGCGAGGTGCTAAATTAAAAAAAATCAGCATAGAGGCAGAAAAGCAGCAGTCCCTCCCTGTGCCCGCTGCCTGCCCGCCACCCCGCGCTGCAGCCGGCCCATCATCCCGCCATCCAGATTTTCTTAATTAAGGAGGTCGGTTAGTTTTCTTCTTTTGGGTTCCGTATTTAAACCGATGACATTTTGACATCGGGAGTGTATTAACGAGAGATTTTCATAATGACCGCTCCGCCGCGGTCTGATCTGCACACGTTGCTGGGAAAGGGGGGGGTTAGGGGTTGGGGGGAGGCACTGGGGAGAGAAAACGAAAAAGGAAGTGGGGGCTGAAAAAAAAAAAAACAAGAAAGAAAAAGAAATTTGGCCGGTGAGATATGGTAACGTGTTGATTTATTCCTGGCGTAATGAAGTTTGCAAACGAATAAGCGGCCGCGGTGATTCACAGTATCCTACAGGAGTGTCAAGTGTTGCAGCCAGATTACTAATTTATGAAATACGTTTAACGTAGCGGGGTGGTGGCACAAGTAAAAATAGAAAAGGAGGCAGAGGTGGCTGCTTCGCTTTGTTGTTGTTTCTCTCTTTCTGACTTTCTTTTCTTTTTTTTTTCCCTGGAAATCCATATTTTCCGTGATCGCTCGGTTTCACTTCCACTGTTTATTTCTGAGGGTGGTGGTTCCTTTGCAAGCGTCCCTTTAGATACAGCTCTGTGCATACACGTGTGCACCTACAGGGCCCTGCGAGCCTCCAGCTATGCCAAATTTCCCAGCGGAGGTGGTTTCCTGGCCACGAGCTTCCAGGAGCACTGCATGAAGCGGCAGAGCAGAGGGCTCAGCGCTGAACTGGGTGCACTGGCACCATTCTCCCCATGCTCTCTGTGGCAATGCCTGGGTGGGAAACTTATTTAAAATCTGGAAGAGAGCAGCTTCACTTGTGCAAGATCCATAATGCAGTCATTCAGCGCTGAAGTCCGAAGGGGTGCCAAGGAGAAACGATGCCCACTTGTTTTTGCCATCGATACCCATCGCTGGGTGCAGGATGAGGGAGAAGGAGCAGCATTGCCGTGCTGTGCTGAAGGCACGGCTGGCTCCGTGCGCTGTGTTAACCCAGGCTCCCTCATTCACACAGCACAAAAGGCACTCCATTAGGGAGACACTCTTTCAGTAAGTTTTATTTGAGATGTTTGACCCACTGGATTTAAGAGGCACAATTTGTAACAGCTTTTTATTATTATATGATTTTTCTGGCCCTTTGAGCTCCGGCGGCCGGGATATTGTTTCGGAGTTATGGTCCTTGTGTTTCGAGCCGGGCTGTGGGGCCTGAATGGCAGGCAGCGGAAACTTGAAAGAAAGACACTAGATTGATTGGGGGAGAAAATAACAAAGCAAAAAGCCCGAGTGAACTCAGGGGGACGCAGAGAGGAGCAGCTCTTCCTGGGAGGCTCGACAAGATGCAAGTCAGAAATTTGGTTAACATTTTCCTCTAAATGTTAATGGCACATCCAGGGCAGTTTACAAATCTACTTAAGAGTGAGTGCATTAGGAACTAAAATTACTGATCCATTCTCTCTCGTCCCTGACCCGAAAGGCAGACGTTTGCGGAGATCAGATGGCAGAAGCACCCATTACGATTTTAAACATTGTCAGAGACGCCAGGCATTTTATTGGCGAAGTCTCTTCTTTTGCTAACAGGGAGAGTGCCTGTGCATGTTTGTGATGATGGATCACGCACATGCACCCATACAGACTCATTCATACACCCCATGGCCTGTATCGCATTGTAGGATCCTACGGGTGCGAGTGTGACCTGCAGTGTATGCTGTCAGAGTGGGGGAAGACACACAGCTGCTGGGTATGGCAGTGGGTACGGCATTAACACGGCTTCTGGTGACACGGGTAACGGTGCACAATAAGTACTGCCATATAGTTACACACACACACAAGCAAATGAGGGCTGTGTGTACATGTGGGCATTCTTGAGTGGATGCAATTAGATGTACATGCCACTTTTCCCGTATCAAATTCCAATTATCATTTGGAGTTACCATCCTAATTTCAAACCGAAGCTTGTTTATTAGCGGGTGATTAAATCTGCGTGCTGCTCTCCCTGCTTTGCCTTTCATCTGCCTGCGCTGGATGGCACCCTTAACCTGGAAGGCCAGAGCTGCTCCCAGCAGCGTGTGAAGTTCTCTATTGATTTCCTTGAGCGAGCGGAGTGGTGGGACCCACACCTAACACGTAATCTTCTCTCTTCTGTTTCCTTGCAGCGTCCGGAGGGTGATGACGCTCCAGTAGGTTTTCCAGCCCTCGCTTTGCTTTCCCTCCAGGGAAGGTCGTTCCACACACGATCCCGCTGAGGAAAGACACTCCGATGGACTTACACCGGGCCGCCTTCAAGATGGAGAACTCACCCTACCTCCCCAACCCGCTGGCCTCCCCGGCGCTGATGGTCCTCGCCTCCACCGCCGAAGCCAGCCGCGACGCCTCCATCCCGTGCCAACAGCCGAGGCCTTTCGGGGTCCCAGTCTCAGCAGACAAGGACGTGCACATCCCCTTTACCAATGGCTCCTACACCTTCGCCTCCATGTACCACCGGCAAGGCGGTGTGCCGGGCGCCTTCGCCAACCGTGACTTTCCTCCCTCTTTGCTTCACCTCCACCCCCAGTTTGCACCCCCCAACCTGGACTGTACCCCGATCAGCATGCTGAATCACAGCGGGGTCGGGGCCTTCCGCCCCTTCGCCTCCAGTGAGGACCGGGAGAGCTACCAGTCGGCCTTCACGCCGGCCAAGCGCCTGAAGAACTGCCATGACACCGATTCACCCCACCTGCGCTTCTCGGATGCCGACGGGAAGGAGTACGAGTTTGGCACCCAGCTCCCCTCCAGCTCCCCTGGCTCGCTCAAAGTTGACGAGACGGGGAAGAAGATCTTTGCGGTGTCGGGCCTCATTTCAGACCGGGAGACCTCATCCAGTCCTGAAGATCGAAGTGACAGATGTAAGTACCTCCGTTGGCTTGTTGGCGTTCCTCTCGTTGTGCGCGGTTGAGATACCCAGCAGGTGGCTGTCCTTGTGCTGAAGGAGGGGACGAGCAGCCTTTGCTCCCTGCCGCCCCACAGCATTGCCACGTTTCTTATAAATGGACAGTGACAGGTTGCAAGGGGAGGTGCTCTGGAAGGAAACCTGCCTTTCAGGCAATGCTGACCTGTTGTTATGTGCAAAAAAGTGTCTGAGCCCCAGAGGAGTGATATGGGTGTTATACATCAGTAGGTGTGAGCAAGGCTTCATCTGGAGACTTCCCCAGAGCTTGTAGGATATGCACCTCGAGCTTTGGAGTTTTTATCCCGATCTTTTCTTTACACATACTGTTCTTGTAGCAAATGCATCACCCCCAGGGTTTGTGCCTCAGGTGGGGACACTGAGCATATTCATGGTCACCAAGATCCCTCTTCAAAGCATAAACCCAAGTCTGTTCTTTCAGGTCAAAAAACTGCATCCCAAATAGGTTGTGTGTGTTTCCCACATTGGTGGCTTGGAAGGTGAAGCTCTATGGCTGTAGCTCCCCAGTCACCCCTCATCATTCCCTGCTAGCACAGGGACAATGTTCCAGGGATGGGCTCCAGGGCTTTGAGCAAGGCAGGTACCCCAAAAGAAGCACTGAGTTATGGTCAGTTTGCCTCTAAGAAGCAGTGAGTTTGCTGCTATGCGTACGCTCCTTTGTTCTGCTGAATTTTCTTCCTAGAAAACAATTCTTTTTTCTGTTGTTGTTATGATTACTATATTTTTTGTGATGAAACTCTGCTGCCCTGCTTCCCCCTCTCCCTTTCAGGCACGATTTTTCCTCTCCCCTTTATGATGCCGAGGAGGTAATAGAGACGTTGTGGCTCTGCCTCCCCTGTCGGCGCAGCTTCCCCAGCCTGTCTCCTTGCATTAGGCACCGCGCTAACTTACCGCCGCTAAAAGGCATCTGCCTAAACCCCGCGTACCTTTTCAATAAAAGTCATCATAAAATCAACCTGCCTTGTAAATCCATCGCTCTTTGCTTTTGAAATATGCTGCCAGTGTGTCTTTTATATTCGCGTTCGCAGGGTGATTCCTGCTGAAGGCAGAAGCTCTGTGTTCCGTGCATTATTCTGCATGGGGAAGGCAGGTGGGATCTCAATGGGGACGTTTTATGTCTGCTGCATGGCAGAGCAGAGCAAAGGCGACATCCCCAACCTTCCACCGACATTAAAATTCTTGCGTAACTACTGGGGCAGTTTACACTAAACATGTCTGTTGGCTCTGTATCGTATTTCCATCACATATAGATGCTGCACCATGGAAACTCAGCTCCATTAGCACCACAGGTTTATCTGTCGCCCAATACACGGGATGGGAGTGTTTGCTATAGTGCCATTTACACGTGTGTGTGGTTGGCCTTGCTCTCTAAGTGTATACCCAGGGATTGTAGCCTCCGCTTGTTGGGCTGTGAGGATCTGGGTGTGCCTGTGTGATGCGGCCGTGTGTCAGAGCAGGTAGGCGACTGTAAGCTTCTGTGCAAGATGCAATAGGGCTCCTACCAGAGATGGCAACTGTTGAACATTGTCTTCAACCAGCGTCACCTTGCCATGTCCAGCTGTTCAGGTTTGCAAGCTCAAATTTTCGGTTGTATTTTTCAGATTCCTGAAAGCATTTGTGTTACATGGGTGGTGAGCTACTATAGTTGCACTGCAGAGTCTTCTGTAGCACTGCATAGGAACCTTTTTTGGATAGCTCATTAAAATGTTTATTTTACTTCATAGCCTAAACGGCGATTTTTTAAAAAATGAATTTATTGCAATGTTTTAATATTCCTGAAAAATAACTTCATGCTTGAGATACTTTGAAACACAACGAGAATCCAAAGCTAGGCATTTCCATCTTGGAATGATGAAGTGGGTCTCTTTAGTCCCATGCATTGAGGGAGCAGAGCTTCATCCTGTTTTCACCCATATGCTGAATTCAGTGAAATGATTTGGGATTTGTCACAACCACTGACACCTGACTCTGTGAGATATACTTGTATTGAAGTGAGAACTCATGCAGCAGCACTGGACCAGAGCTCATGTCCATGGGATGCTCTGAGTGCACGGAGGTGAGGTGGTGTTCCTCATCATTCAGAAAACCAGCCTGAGGTTGGTCTGCTCAAACACAGTGCTGTGAAATGCAGGCACTGAGGGCACCCAAATGATGCACAAAAGCAGAGACTTCCCAGGGAGCAGCGGTCTCACTGTGTGCTGGATGGGGCCCTTCTGCTGGGTGCTTCTGAGAAACGCGATGCCGTTTGTTGGAGTTTGGGGGCTTCTTGTAAAGCATGTGTTAAAGACACCGAGAGACGTATTTTATGGGTTTCCTTTAATAAACCCACGACAGCCGAGATTCCTAGAAGGAGTGGAAATTAATGGTGTGTTTCTTTCTGCAAAAGAGATCTATAGCTCCATTTTAGAATCAGAAGAAAAAAAAAAAAAAGCACAAACAAAACACAATAAAAAGACCCTTTTTGCTCCTAATAAAACCCATCCCCATGGCCTTCTGCATGAAGCCACCACCATGTCACCTTCCCACGAGGTGATGGGCAGAAGCCTGTAGCCTTCCCGTTGCTTTCTCCCACTTGCTCTTCATCTTGCATTTGCATGACCTGCTGGTGTGTCAAAGATTTGCAACCCCTCAGCCACAGCTTCCATCCCATCAGAACCTGCTCCTCCAGTCTCAGCTGCTACCTTTGGCTCTCACGCAGCTCCAGGAGGGGAGCTCTATGGTGGCATGCCTTGCTGGGACCTCAAATCCTGACCCCAAATCCCAACTCCAAATCCTGACCCACTGCAGCACGGGGATGGCATCGGCTGCTCCATAGGTTTTGACAGAAGGAGCTGCGAAGGGCAAAGTATGAGCATTATTAATACAGTACAGTTAGTAGAATATTATGAACTGTTATAAATCATTACTGCTAAACTACAGTTATTAAAGGAAATGACCAAAGTGCACTTTCTGAGCCAGGATCTCCGACAGTTAAAGCGTTATTTTATTATTTCACTTGCTAACTTGCAAAATTCAGGAGGCAGCGGCAGTTTCCTGGTTGGGCTGCGATGGTTGCACGAGGGACTGGGAGACGCTGGAGGAGTGGGCATGCACAGCAGGAAGCAAGCACGGGATTTAGTCACTGCTTTTCTCTTTCTCTGACAGCCTATAGGTTTTAAAGGAAGCAGACATTCCCCTCATGCAGGTGCCCTGGGCCCACCAAGGCCACCAAGGTCTTTCTGGAGTTCCCATAGAAAACTCAAGCGTGAAGGTGCTTTGGAATTGTCAGCAGTTGTTATCTGTGTGGTATCATTTAGACAAGTCCCATTAAATGCTAGCAGCAGTTCCATTCTCTCCTCTTTGTTTGCCTTCCAAGGAGCAGAAAACAGACATAATTATATTTTACGTGAGACTCTAAGATTTCCTCTCATCTCCTCCTCCTCTGCTTAATATCTGCAGCTATAAAATAAATTCCATTTGTGCATACATGGTGTTAGACAGAGGTAAATAACTGTCATTCGAAATCTGCCTAACCTTAATCTGTACTGGGAGCACTATAGAGCACCGTATCCATTTGTATAATATTAGGCTTTATTTTTATTATGGATTTCTAATGCAAATTCATAGCGGGGACAAAGTTGTTTTCTGCTAATGCTGCACTCCAAGGAAAGCGGCTGCTACGAGTGAATGGTGACAATCTCTATCCAGTGGTTTGTGGTCCTCAATCACGTCAGTATACCTGGGGGGCATTTTTCATCCTTGCTCTTCAGGATTAAAAAGCAGATTTGAGGACTTTCGAGGACATTTTTTGGCTATGCAAAGCAACTGGGACCAACAGTTGGTGGGACTGGTGTGGCACTGGGTTACACACATGAAGCTTCCCTGGAAGCCAGCCTGGAGTCAGAGTGCTCTGATTGAACACTGGCAGTGACATTTGGTGCAAATCTGTGGCTGTGATCTTGTTTTTTGTCTTTCCTTTGGAAAACATAGATGGTGGCAGTGATAAACTGAGCGTCCTTTGGCCACCAGCATTGCTTTCTCCTTCAGCCCCTTGCTGGCGTCTTGAAGTGTAGCAGAAGAGAGGAGAAAGCAAAGCTGGTAACTTGGAGCTGAGGTCTACTTTCTCACCGCTATTTTAGGGAAGAATGTGTTTTGTACTTTTCCTTGTCAGTGCTGGGCTCGTGGTGCACAGCTGTTTGCAGCGGGAAAAGGAAGGCGCTGCGTGCCTCTGCATCCCTGTAAGAGGAAGAGCTGGAATCTGTGTCCTTGTTTCCCGCAGCAGCATGGATTCTGGGTAACTGGCTCCAGGCAGAGTGACACAGCCCAGGATTTTTTAATTCAGAAAACACAAGAGCTTTGATGCATTTTGCTGGTGCAGTTCTGCACACCCACATGTGCCCTGTGCCCTTTTGCAGGGCCAAAAGTGCATCTCAGGTCTGCCACAGTGAGCCCACGTCGCTCTGTTGGGATTTTCAGGAAAAATCACTTTGCTTCTAATTAAGATAGTTTAAATTTTAGAAGTCTCAACCTTTTCATCTGATTTTCGTGTTGTTTCCCTATAGGAAGCAACTTGCAAAGCCATTTAGTATGTGTGACTGTCTGTCCTGTAGCATCCCTCACTATAAGGGAACATAGGATAGCAATCCCTCATCCCAGGCAGCCTGCTCTGACACTGGGAAGGCATACAGAAGGCTCTGCACCAAAACACAGCTCTGCCTTCTCCTCTGGCCTTGCTTCCAGTATGAGAAATATTATGGGGAGATTCCCCCTAGGGCTTTAGGAGAGGCTCTGCAGAGTGCTGGAGTCCCAGTTCCTCCTCTGTGCTCAGGGCAGGGGCTCACTGAGCTGAATGCCATCCTGGTGTCTGGAAGTCTCCCGGGGACTGGAGGGCATCTTGTCCCAGTGTCACTGTTGGCAATGTGGATGGCTTGGGAAAAGGTGGACAGCAGGTGAGCAGGG